TCCTCTACGCCCCCCCCCCCCGTGTCACTGTCCCCCCCAACCCACCCCCCACAGGCCGCTACCCCCGCACGGCGCCCCTCCCTTTCACGGATGTCCTCGCCACATCCTGCACCGAGAGTCCAGCCCCGCCCCCCTCTGCGCCGCAAGTCCGGTGCCCAATACGGGTCCGAGTGGCACTAAAAACACACACCGCGGGCACGTCACCGCCTCTGCCACACTGTCTCCACCACGCCACGCCGACGGGCACGGGCAACGGGCGCAACACGAAGCCGCAGGAACCGCCCGCCGATGTTCCAACGGACCTCGGCGAATTCGGAGCACGCGGACCTGCCCATACAGAGTGCCCCTCGCGCGCGGCTCCGTCCGGCACTGGCTGCCACTGACACTCGCCCCGGGCCACGCCGCCTCCTGCCCGGCTCCGCTTACTCTGTGCGTTTGTTGTGTGTGTGTGTGTGTGTGTGTGTGTTTTGTGTGTGTGCGTGTGCGTGTGTGTGTGTACGTGTGTGTGTGTACCTGTGTATGTGTGTGTACCTGTGTATGTGTGTGTACATGTATGTGTGTGTACATGCCGTGTGTACGTGTGTGTGTGTGTGTTGTGTGTGTGTGTGTGTGTGTTGTGTGTGTGTGTGTGTGTGTGTGTGTGTGTGTGTGTGTGTTTGTTCGAGTGTGTTTGTGTGTGTGTGTGTGTGTGTGTGTGTACGAGTGTGTGTGTGTGTACGTGTGTGTGTGTGTGTGTACGTGTGTGTGTGTGTGTGTACATGTGTTTGTGTGTGTACGTGTGTATGTGTGTATGTGTGTGTGTGTGTGTGTGTGTGTGTGTACGTGTGTGTGTGTACGTGTGTGTGTGTGTGTGTGGTGTGTGTGTACGTGTGCGTGTGTGTGTATGTGTGCGTTGTGTGTGTACGTGTGCGTGTGTGTACGTGTTGTGTGTATACGTGTATGTGTGTGTACGTGTTGGTGTATACGTTATGTTGTGTATACGTGTATGTGTGTGTGCTTGTGTGTACATGTGTGTGTGTGTGTGTGTGTGTGTGCGTGTGTGTGTGTGTGTGTGTGTGTGTGTGTGTGTGTAAGTGTGTGTGTGTGTGTGTGTGTGTGTAAGTGTGTGTGTGTGTACGTGTGTGTGTGTACGTGTGTGTGTGTGTGTGTGTACATGTGTGTGTGTGTACGCGTATGCGTGTGTACGTGTATGCGTGTGTGTCACCCGTGTGTGTGTGTGTGTGTGTGTGTGTGTGTGTGTGTGTGTGTGTGTGTGTGTGTGTGTGTGTGTGGTGTGTCACCCGTGTGTGTGTGTGTGTGTGTGTTGTGTGTGTGTGTGTGTGTGTGTGCGCGTGTGTGTGCGCGTGTGTGTTCACCCGTGTGTGTGTGTCACCCCGTGTGTGTGTGTCACCCGTGTGTGTGTATGTGTACATGTGTGTGCGCGTGCACATGTGCACATGTGTATGTGTTCTCATGTGTACAAGTGTGTGTGTGTGTGTGCCTGTGTATGTGTGTGTACGTGTATGTGTTGTGTGTATGTGTGTGTACGTGTATGTGTGTGTACGTGTGTGTGTACGTGTATGTACGTGTATGTTGTGTGTACGTGTATGTGTGTGTGTGTGTGTGCCTGTGTGTGTGTGTGCCTGTGTGTGTGTACCTGTGTATGTGTGTACCTGTGTATGTGTGTACGTGTGTGTGTGTACGTGTGTGGTGTGTGTGTGTGTGTGTGTGTGTGTACGTGTGTGTGTGTGTACGTGTGTTGTGTGTGTGTACGTGTGTGTGTGTGGTGGTGTGTGGTTGTGTGTGTGTGTGTACGTGTGTGTGTGTACGTGTGTTGTGTGTATACGTGTGTGTGTACATGTGTTGTGTGTGTTGTACGTGTGGTGTGTGTGTGTGTGTGTGTGTGTGTGTGTGTGTACGTGTGTGTGTGTGTACATGTGCGTGTGTGTGTACGTGTGTGTGTGTGTGTGTGTGTGTACGTGTGCGTGTGTGTGCATGTTGCCATTTATCTATGTGGCTGTGAGTGTACACAATGTGTCGAAGTGTGTTATAGTAGATGTCAATGTACGTGTAAGTATGAGGCTGCAGATGTGTTTGTGAGGCTGTTGGTAACTGTGTAGCTGTGTTGGCTGCGTGTGTATTTGCTGCTTTTCTTCTTTTTGTTTGTATGTTTGTTGGCTGTGTTTGCGCGTAAATATGTGTATCTCTGTGTGAGTGTGTGTGTGTGTGTGTGTGTGTGTGTGTTGTGTGTGTGTGTGTGTGTGTGTGTGTGTGTGAGAGAGAGAGAAGAGAGAGAGAGAGAGAGAGAGAGAGAGAGAGAGGAGAGAGAGAGAGAGAGAGAAGAGAGAGAGAGAGAGAGAGAGAGAGAGAGTAGTCCTCCCAAATATACACAAAGCTTAATCATACTTACAAATAATACCCGATGTGCTTATACCAACCGACTGGCTCTAACCCGACGACAGGCCTTGAAACCCAACAGCACGTGCATCTGTAAGTGTGTGTGTGTTCATGCGTCCACACCCGCAAAATACTAACGCGTGCCCCCCCTCTCTCTCTCTCTCTCTCTCTCTCTTCTCTTCTCTCCTCTCTCTCTCTCTTCTCTCTCTCTCTCTCGTCTCTCTCTTCTCCTCTCTCTCTTCGTCTCTCGTCTCCTTCCTTCTCCCTCTCTCCTCTTGTCCTCTCCTCTACACAACCCAATCATCTTCCCACTGTCCCTCCTCATTCCACCCGCACTTGCTCAGAGCACGCCGGGGCACTCACACCGAAACCCCGCATGCCCGCGCCCACTCCCCTCGTACCTCTGACAATGCGCAGGTGGGGCGTCCCCCTCCAGGACACTCGCCGGCAACAAAGCGCAGGCGCGGACCAGCTGGCGAACAGCAGGTGGCTGTGTCCTTCGTCTCGGGCAGCCAGCGCTCCGTCTCTGCACACAGTTATGGCGGCGCGGGCTCATGACGTCATGCAGGTTGCCGTAATAACATACACAAAAGTCCGAAGACGTGATCCTCCCGCGCCTTCCCTTGCTGGGAGCCCCTCCCTCCTTCCCTTCCCTCCCTCCTTCCCTTCCTCCCTGCCTGCTACCTCCTTCATCTCATCTTCTCTCCTTCCCTCCCTGCCTGCCTCCTCCTTCCCATTCTCTTCCCTGATTTCCACTCCTACTCCTTTCTCCTCCCTCTCCTTGCTCTCCTCCTCCCTTCCGCACATCCTTTCTCCTTACCTGGCCTCCTCTCTTCCTTCTTCCTCACTCCTTCCCTTCCTCCCCCCTGGCCTCCTCTTTGCTTCTCCCTCTTTCCCTCCCTTCCAACATCCTCCTTCCTTGCTCCTCCTCCTCCTCTCTCCACCTCCCTCCCTTCCTCCCTCACTTCCCTCTCTCCTCCTTCCCCTTCCTCCTCCCCTCCCTCCTTCCCATACTCCCTCTCGCCTACTCATTCTCCCTTCTCCACCTCCTCCCTCCCTCCTCCCTCCCTCCTTCCTTTCTCATCCTCCCACCCCTTATCACTTTTGTTCTCGGTATTTGCTGCTGCTCTCTTTCTTTCTCTCTTTATTTCCCACTCTTTCAACAACCTCGCAAGCCAATAGAACAAAGTAAAAACGACAATACTTTTCTTCATTTCCTTTCCTCGGATCCCAAGTCAAATACGGAAAGCCGAGAGTCGAGACCTTTAAACACATCTCTCTGTCATCACAAGCACTCTGTATCGTTTTCTGCCTCGCCCTCTCTGCCCTTTCATCATTTTTCTTTCATCCATTCCACACCACAACCCCGACATCACAGGAGGTTCCAATTCACACAAATGCGACGTTATATCTCGTGCACTGGTTTTATTTCTCCAGGACCGGTCTCTCTTCTCCGTTTTCTCTGATAAGTTTTCTTTCTTACCCTGAGCGGGGCTTTCCAGGGTATACTATGTTATATGAATATTCTCCCCCCCTCTCTCTCTCTTCTCTCTCTCTCTCTCTCTCTCTCTCTCTCTATATATATATATATATATATATATATATATATATATATATACACACACACACACACACACACACACACACACACACACACACACACACACACACACACACACACACACACACACACACACACACACACACACACACTCACGTCTAAAAATATCTACCATGTTCACGACAGTAGTGATGACGGACAATGCATGAAAAAATACATTAAAAATCAAGTTGATGTAACCAGTCAAAATTCTTTTCGTACCAACAACACCGTCGATAAAACGATAAAATATAACGATCACACCACACTATGTAAAAAAAATATGAAAGAAAAACATCTAATGATTTCGCGGAATTTGGGAGACGCCTCCCCCCCCTCCCGGCCAACTAACCCCATCCCCTTCCACCAATACCCCCTTCCTTTCGTTCAATTTTCCACCTCTTACCCTTCCTCTTCCTCGTTATCGCTTCCTCCTCATGCTCCTCCTCCGTAGCAGCTTTTGGGTTGATGCAATTCTCCTTAATCAATTCACCAGCTATTCCATCATCCAGTAATCTGATTCTCAGAATGAGTATTTCGCTTTTCAGAAGAGGATTGACAACGCCCTTCGCAGCACCGCCCCTGACGCCATGAATATATAAGTCTACCCGAGAATTCCATCACAGAAAACGAAGAGCATGGAGGAATAACTAATGTAAATCCTCTTGGTTCTTGTGATCTGGACGAAAAACCATGCACGTTTCTCTTCAGTCCTTCTTAGTACTTTTAAGATACAATAACGCATCTTAATATATTCAATGAAAGACCAATTAACTAAAAAGACTCATTTGGCGAAAATGCAAGACTACAACCGTGAATTCAATTTTTTTTTCAACCAACAAACCCAACAACCAAACCTTAACCCCTCATCAAAACAAAACATTAAAATTCCCAAAACAACCACCACATGTTCTCCCTCCACATAAGACGTAAAAAAATACCCAATGCAGTTTATTAACACAACCACACCGTCTTGCCGGAACACATGACCCCGCATGCGCAAAGACCCGGCCACGTCACTTACCATGGATGGCGAGCTCGGAGTCCTTGTTGAGTTCGTAGAGTCTGAGCGCCTCGTCGAGCTCCTGCTGTGACGAGATGGTGCACGGGTCGCCTGGAGGAGGAGAGGGAGGAGGCCACGGTTAGTTAACAAGGAACGAAGGAAGGAAAGGGGGAGACAGCATAAGAAACAAACAAACAAAAACTATTTTCGTCTTCTTTGTCAATATCTCTCGTGATGGGTAAGCATTGTACGGGGTAAAAAAAAAAAAGGACAAGCTTATCCTTTATCAACATCCCTCGTACGGGGTGAGCATCATAAAGGGTAAAAAGATAAGTTATCGACTTTTATAAACATCACTCGTGCCGGCCGAGCATCGTCTACCCTTCGAAAGAGAGAGGCAGACAGCATCTGCTTCATCTCGGCATCGCTCTGTCGTCAGCCCGAGAGTGCCGGGCCCTGGCACTCGTTCGCCCACCATCTGTCAATTAGTTTTATCGCGGTGGCACATTCCTCGGCCGCCGCCACCGCCGCCGCCACCGCCGGGGACGCGTCTGCCCGGCGCTCGTGCCAGGGCCGCGGCGGAAATCGGGCGAGGAGGGCATGGCGGGTCGGCAACTTACTCTAAATATCGGAAAACTTAATCTGTCTAAATACACATTTTTTCCGATCTTGCAACCACGATGCGTTCAAACTACAATCCGCATCCACCATGCATTCTCCTTAATAAGGCAGAACGGAATAAAGTTTAAAATGAGTTTAAAATGAGGCCAACAAACAAACATAAAACAAATCAGTGCATTAAAAAAACTAAGCCACGGCAGCCTAAGAGCTCGCCCAACGCAATATCAACCTGCTATCTCCCTCCTGTCCCAGATAAGATAAGATCAACAGCAAACACCCATTCCCCCGCGCAGAAAACGACCCTCATGCAAACGTCACTGGCTCGCCCGTGCCATGCTGCCCTCGTCGACCCGATTAAGCTGCATTCACAAGCTCAATCTCTTTAAAGGTGATGCAACCAAAATGCCTTGCTAAAAAGGAAAGTTTAAAAGGACGTCATCCACAAGGAGGATTTGCGAGGGCGGGGAGAGGGGGGGCACGGAGGGAAGGGGCAGGGGAGGGGGGGCACGCAGGGCAAGGGGCACGGCGGAGGCAAGGTCAGGGGGCAACACGATCGTCACGCTAGCAGCTTGCGTCACCGCCACAGTAGGTCACGCTCGAAAGAAAGAAAGAAAGAAAGCTCCCATGTGAAGAATGGCCAAGACGTGCGGGATTGACAGCTCGGGTCGAGTGACTGGGAAGAGAGAGATGGAGGAAAAGAAGGAACAGCAGGGAGAGGAGAAAGATGGGTGAAGAGAAGGAACAGAAAGGAGAGGGGAAAGATGGAAGAGAAGGGAGAGGAGAAAGGGGGAAGAGAAGGGAGAGGAGAAAGATGGGGGAAGAGAAGGAACAGAAAGGAGAGAAGGAAGATGGGGGAAGAAAAGGAAGAGAAGGGAGAGGTGAAAGGTGGGGGAAGAGAATGAGTAGAATGGAGAGGAGAGAAGAAGAGAGAAGAAGAGAGAAGGGAAAGAAAGGCGAAAAGAAGAATGAGAAAGACGGAAGAGGAGATTGAGGAGAGTGACGAGCATTAGCGAAGGAGGAGGAGGAGAAGGAGACGTGAGTTTAACGTAGTTCAATTTCAGTAGATGGGAAACTGGAAAAGAAAAACTATATGATAAGCCGTACAAAGTTTAGATGCAAAAAAGAAACATATAAAGTAACTAGAGATAAATTCAGATCGCAAATAAGATCACATGAAAAGGGCATACATGCGACTCAACAGGAAAAAAGGGGCAGTGAGAGAGAGACATCTTAATATCTGGTGCTTTTCGACACGCCAAGCTCCGCGCAGGTAAGTCCGAGGGTCATTAAGGAGCCGCCAGGTAGGGCAAAGAGCGAGTATGAGGAAGCGCGACTGGTCCTGGGGAGTTCTCGGTGTCGTCTTGTCCCACGACTATTCTGTGCATTTCGAGACCAGCGCCGGGCAAAAAAAATCAGCGTCTCGATGAAAACCTGCGCGTGACTGTGCAAAAAAAGTGGAAGTTTTAGGCTTCCAATGCGAATGCCGAATCGACTGACGTTACGTGCCGAAGACACTGCGTCACGTTCGAATGGAGTTCCCACCGTCACGGAGCGCGTCTCGAACGTTATCCCTCGTGAACGTAGCGGCGAGGACTTGCGTTCGACATGTGCTTCGTGACGATGAGGCCTTCACTTGATCGTAACATTGGGTCTTCGGTGCGTAACGTTCCCGTATCACATGCCTTCGAAAGCGGAACGTTCAACCGCCAATGCTTAAAATCACACGGAAAACCACGACGCATAGACAAGTACGCTCGCTCGCGCCACGGGGACATGGGGTGGCAATGTTCCCAGGTGGATCCGCCGCCCTCGCCCTCTCTCCCACGAAACCTGTATCGCCCAGGCTTTATCGCCGGCTGGGCCGACCGTGCCAGCTGCGAGTGACACGTCCGAAGGCACG